TAATCCTGACTAGTAATAATAAGCAAATTTGATTTTTTTACTATCTGGATAAAGAATCACTGACACAGTTATCCAGATTTCCCAATACTTGGGAAAGCTTATCTCAAAAAACCTGTATGAACATCATATCTCACCAATAAACAGAATAAATCTGATGTGCAGCTGGATGAAGAACACAAGCCAAGTTTGCCATTATGTAATGAAATAAGAATAATGAAAAAATGGTCACAATGGCACATCACCGGACAAATCAGCTGTTACATTCAATTGGCTCAGTATTTTGGACGGAAAGGTTTGATCACACCCACAAAAGACCCCAAGGCTCTATCACATGTTTGGTGAAAAAAGTCAGAAAGAGATAGGGAAAGAAAAGCAAAAATAACCTCAAAGTTAATTGTCAATGTCTTATACAAAAGAGTATTTTAGTTTTGTATATCAAAGAATATGATGAAAATAGAAAGGACTGAATGCAATCACAGTGTCTGAGCATATGCTGAAAAAATTGTTCATATAACTTTCAGACTCTAATTAATCACAATTCACTTTGGATAAAGTCAACTTGTGTAGTTCTTTGATATCTTACTCTTTTTCATAAAATAAAATATTACATAAATATTTGTAACTGGTCATCTACTTGTCAAGTACTTGTCATTTCTTATTGCTTCCTGTGTGACCATTAATAACATAAATTCTTCCAGTAGTCCTTGCAATATGAAAACAAAAGGTCGCTCAAAACTGCCAACCCGATGTCCTGGGACCATCAAGTTTTTCCCATCAAAGCTACCCAAACATAGTAGCACCTGACTGACAGCTTATTAAAAATTGTACTCCCAAGGCCTGAAGGGCTACAAAGGATTTAGAAATTCTTCTAGTCCTGAACAGATAGCTAATGTAAGCTACATAAATATGGTCTCAGAGAACTTTCATAATTTTCTTTGCTCTTATTCTATAAATAATTCTAAAATAATGATGACATTTCAAATTCAACTGATGTAAGACTAATAATCAAATGATAGTTCCTCTGCTTACTTTTTTGTTACATAACTACAAAGTGACCAAGAAATACTTGTATGAGCTGATAAAGTATCCATATACCATATTACTAAGTGAGAATCATATCTAGAACTAATATTTCAACTGTAACTGTGAAGACTGGTCTTTTGAAGTGCAACACAATCAAATTTTCATTCTAATATAATGAGGCATGGAGATATCATGACTAGATCATTAACTAGAAATAAAACTTATTATTTCTTATTGCATATAAAAAAGTGTTCACAATACTAATTTTTAAAAACAAATAAAGGATGTTGAGCAAAGACAGCTTCAAAACATTTTGAAATAAAATAAAAAAGTGCCAATATATTAAACACATAATAATATAGTAACTTATTCAAAACAAAAGAAAGTACAGGGTATGGAAGATCACACATAAATTAAGATGTAAAAGGTCCATTTCTACGTTGCTGTATCACACTTATCAAGAATATTACACATGCTTATGCAGTACTGAGATCAAACTGTAATACAGCCAAAAAATTTCCTTACTACTGACTAATAATAAACACTTAGCCTCCCACAATGTGCACACAGCCTTTTAAAGAATACTTTGCAGTTCCACAGCCACAAATTTCTCCGTTTGGCCGCCTCAGGAGCAATACCCACTTTCCTGTACTGATCAAGGGATACATTCTTTTATTGCCACTCTTTGCATTACAAACTCTATCACAGAGATACTGGATTGGTGCAGGTCTACTAAGACTTGAGGCACAGAAGATTATTTTAACCTACTGGTATCAAGCATCAAATATACATACTTG